TCCTTCATTCAGATGGCTATTAAAGGATTATCAATCATCTTCAGCAGACCTGTGAGGATGCTGAGACATTGGCAAGATCTTAATGTGATTTTTAAACCCTGTCCAGTCTACCTTGTTGTAACGAATTATTGTTCTTGGAACCTGCCTTTTCAGTTAAAGTTTTAGGTTAAACTCGGTATAGACTATGTTATGATCATTAATACCTGGCAGGATTTGTGTTCTGCATATGAAAGTTGGACGATTAGTTACTATCAGATTCTGGATGTGTTTTCCTCTGGCGGGCAGGTTCTCTGATAACTTGAGTAAGGCCATTGTCACATAGCAAACCACAGTGTGATAGTGTCCCTCACATCTGGTCTGTAACATGCACATATGTACAATGCCTTACATTGGTTCAACTTAACCTTCACCCATCATAGAATTTCAGAATCATCCTGTTCTTGATTTAATTCTTCTCTTGAACTCTTGAGTATGGAGCTGTTGACTGCGACAAAAGTCCTCCTCCATGAGTTTGTGCGATCTCGCCTGTGAATAATACATGAATTACTGACCTATTCAGAGTTTCTTATATCGTTTTTGGACCATGTCTCAGTTAGTATCATGATGTTATGGTCGTCCACTGTATCAAATTACGAAAATTAAGCCTTCTTTTTCTACAAGAGATTGTAAGTAGTCCAAGCATGGGCTTAGCTTTCAGCTTCATGGGTGTGAGGTATAAAAGGGGCCTGGCAGGTCTGAGGAAGTTGAATTTAAAGTAATATCTGATTCCATGAAGCTGTCGTTTACATTTGATACCTGAGGGAACACACGAGGACATGCCTGGAGGTAACTGTCTTCGGAAGACGCATTCATTCCATGCAAGTCAAAAAGCACGGAACTGTAACTTGTTCCCTGGCAGTTTCTGCATGTCCATGGGGGTGTTATCACTTTCAACAACTAGGAATAAAGAGTCACTCACTAATTGGCAGTGAGTGTGGAACCATGAATCGCATGTTTTGCACATGATGGCCTTGCTGTCCCATGTTAACTTTGGTTTTACATGATCCACAGATATACACTGTTGATTCTTGGAAAATGTTAACATCTGTAGGATGTGCTGGACTTAATTTGCTTTGTCAGTAAGCATATAATCGGCTAGCTCTTTTGCCTCCTCAGCGGCCTCGCATTCTTCTAAATTTGCGTTTAAGTAACTGTCGAGTGAGGTGCAAAATACTTTTCGAGAACTTCAGTGTGGCAAAATTATCGTGGAGTTTATTAGTGAAGCAAATGTTGGATGTGTCTAAAAAGAGAAGTTCATGTTTAGAGTACTGCAGTAACATTTTAAATTAGGGGGGGGGGGGATTCTAAACCTCCACAGTAGATAAATGAATAAATACTATGCCACCTCCTTCAGCTGATTTTAAGCCCAGGGAAGGCAGAACCTTGGTAGTACCAGAATTCTGTCTTTGCAAGATGATTTATCATGGAAAGACGGAATTCCAGGATAATTTGTCTTGGAATTCCGTCTTTTCTAGAAAATTTATCTTGGAATTCCGTCTTTCCAAGATAATTTATCTTGAAAAGACGGAATTCTAAGATAGTTTATCTCGGAAAGACGTCTCAATAAGTGCTTTGTTCCATGTTTCCAAGATAATTATCTCGGAAACCTATAAGGTCACTTCAGGCTTCCGTACTTAATTACACTGTACACACACTGCCTATTCACTGCCTTAGTCTCCCACTCCCTTGTACATTGTTCCTAAAATTATTTTTGTATGATATAAGAAAAAACAAACGTAACTGCACAAGTGACGACTGTCAGCGGCGTTTGACTCTCGGGATTTTCTGTCAGGGTTGGTTGATTTCGGTCACAGGACGCTGCGTATTAAGCCTATTGTCACTTTGCTTAAAACTATTTTTCCACCTTAAGAAAAAATTCAACGGAAGAAACACTTTTTCACCTACTTGGGTAATGTGGAAATCTCTTTAGCTCAAACCCACACCCCACCCCACTAGCGATCAACATTTTAAAGCTAATTGTTAAAATTGTTAAAAATGTTCTAAACATTCAGATTTGATTCATCGCATTTAAAAACAGGTATACAATAGAATTAAAATTTCTGCATGAAAGGCAACTAGAATAACAAACACAGACCATTAACACCAAACTTTACTTTAACACATATTTAAAAAAATAAACAAATATTAAATTGTTCTAAAGCCTGCGGGATAGAAGGTAGACCAATAATATAATGTTATATTTATTGTAAGTTTTTACGCCCTCCTTTGGGGATAAGCTCGCGAAACAAGATATACAAAAAGTGTCACCTTACGGTCCGTCTTATTCCTTTGATAGGCATACGTAATTGGGACATGACCACATGCTTTAAGTTTGCAAATTATTGAGCATTAGAATGAAACCCTGTTTTAAATTCTAAGAGCAATCTGCAAATGATACATGGTCACACGTCTCAGTTGGCAAAGTAGCTTGTTATTTAGCAGTAAGTGAAAGAAACCATGTTTAAAATAATCTGTAAGTAATCTTACATCGCCACGCGCCTTCAGTATGGAATTACCGATTTGTATCACAATTTATTAATTCTCTTTCAAAGGGAAACGTGGCCGCAATTAATTATTATTCAAATTAATAATTTTCATATCAAAATAGTCCTCGAGCGAAACCACATATTTAAAGTTATGTGCTGAAACGTGGTCACACGCTTTCCGAACCGTTATGCAAATTAATAATTTGCTTTGATGGAGTATTGTTGTGAATTAAAGAATGTTTTCAAATTAATTGGACGAGATCTCAGTATCAATGAATAAAATAAGCCTACTGATTTACATATTCAAATTACTAGGCATATTATCGTTTTGTTATATGGTTGATAAAGAATACGTATCAGAATATGTTTACTTTTTAAAGTAATATTTAAAAGCGAGAGCAGGCTACATGCTTTCGGTAACCTTATGTAAATTTCAATTTGCACATCAAATCTTATTATTCAGTAGTAGGTAAAAGACCCCATTAACATTCTATGAAAGTAGGCCTAATAATTATTCTTCGCAGAAAACTATGCAGTTGGCGCACGAGCTTTTGACGAGATAATTCCGAAGTGATTTTAACACAAAATACTGACATTCCGGGTCGTAGGTCGTAAAAGATATAATTCTACAATGCGTGATAATAGTGGTTGGCTCCAATAAACGTTACCTTTGACATTACCATGCACTCTATCTCGCAACAACACTCAACATATCGTAATGCAATATTTACTCCTTACACTCAAGTCGTAAAATTAAAACAATACACCAATAAAATTTGATATAATCCTGCCTCTTGTAGTTAAGATGAATTATAGTGGGCCTACACCCCTGGTTCTTAACCTTTTTCAAAATGAAGACCATTTTCTAAACCACTTAAAATATCGCGTGAACAGGAGCCTAAGTTGGGGGATATCTAGCTTGAGATTCGACACTCAGCGAATTTCGGAAAAAGAATGTTTGGCCGGGTTTTATTTATTCGCAAAAATCTTAAACTTAACACATTTTATATATTTATTTGTTTAATTTCTGATAATTTTAAAACTTAAGGCCTATTTTCGGTCAGTGGTTCAGAACCAAATGCCTACACGACAATATATTAGTAATATAATTATAATAACTTCTAATTTATATTCAAGATAAGAAACGACTAGTAATTTAGGTTTTTCACTGAAATTAGTGAATGAGCACATCGTAACAGCAGTTTATAAGCGAAATAATTATAATGTTGGAAACAATATAAACACAAATATCAATGATAATAATAGAACAGTAATAATAAAAGCAAAAATAATAAAATAATCGAAAAGAAGAAAAAATAATACGAAACAATAATAAACATAATTATGACAACACAATAATAAAATCATTATGCCATATAATTAAATAAAATAGCACAATAATGATATGCGCTAAGTCGGACTTCAGGGGAATATCTTGTTATTTTCTCAACATTATTTTTCAATTGTTCTCTAAATTCTCCATTGCCTAAGTTCCCCTTAAGGTAGGTTTTAGTAACATAATAACAATACCAGCAACAACAATCACAATAATAATAATAATAATAATAATAATAATAATAATAATAATAACATAATATAATAATAGTTGTAGTAGTACAGTAGTAATGTTAACAGGAGGATATGAGCCGATACATCATGATGTAACACAAAGGTACAACAAAAAAAGTCCGGCAATTAAATATAATATGATGAAATATATACACGTCTAGGAATAATGAAAGTCTGGAGTTGAAATGGTGATTACCATTTTAAGTACTATAATCTAAAATATACTGTTAATACAATAGGCCTATATTGTAACACAATATTTAATATATTAATAATATAGAATAAGCATTCGAAATGTAGGCCTAAGTTTGAAGTGGAATGTTGATTTAGGTTTTCCATGTTTTATAAAAGACAGTATGTATTTAATGTACATCATTTTTGAAATGGAAAGAGGAAGAAAATACAAAACGATTCTTGATTATATGAAAAGTCGTAGTTACAATATGTAAAGGTTAGCACACAATGCATGCAAAAGATTTATAGGAAAAGAAAATTATGGTGCTCAAGAGACAAGACACGTCTCGGGAGAACAGGCCAACAATGATGAATCCAGACGAGTGAAAGAAACATGAATACGGAAAGAGCAGTGTTGTCCAACATCCACAACACACGTACTGCCCAGAAAGAATTACCTTTAAACTGCATCCGTGTACATTTTGTATTCAAAATAATAAACCCAGTAATGGAGCAATTTATGAAGGGCGAAAGGAGCATAAAGTGCTAAACTAAGCTGTACACATAATAGTTTATCGCAACATATAATACTGCTTGTGTCATGTGTTAAGGTTGAATGGCCTAAAGGAAACGAGACTGTCAAACATTGGATTATCTTAAAAGCAATTAGTGTACATGTTGAGGCATGCGTAAAAGCAATAACCAGACAGAAAACAAAATAATTCTGTGATATCAATTGTCTTAAAGAATTTTTTTTTTATCTTGTTAAATACAGTAATGTACAAACCACTGTGCAATGCAAAACAACCAACATAATACCAATAATGAGGTATTGCTATATAACTAACAACACATTAGTGTTTTTCTTTTCTCCAGCAATTTACTCTGAACGGTTTATCATTAGGAACACAATTCTATGGCATTACACAAGTAATCATCATATTAAATTTAAAATAAATCAATACCAAGCATCTATAATAAGAAAATCACTGCTTACAAACATCTTCAAATTAAATTCTACAGTTTCTCAATACCAACACTATTTAAAATTGCGCCGGAGTAGACCTGCATGGAACTGACCTAGATATTCCAATGATCGTCAAGGTTCAGCGCACACACAATATCTACCAACTTTGCTGCATCTCATAGAGCAAAGAAACAGCTTTGCTCTATGGCTGCATTGAGCAATCACACCCGTATGGCAATTAAAAAAAATGCTTCTTGTAAATACTAATTAGTGTAAAGCAAACTTTAAAATAAACACTTGTTAAATCATATACTAATTTCAATTTTTGTTTTCATTGGTACTACATAACATACACATAGTCAAAAAACTAGTGCACAATATAGTGTTTATAGTTTGGTAATGTACTTGAAAGCTAGGGTCCAAGCACTGCAGAAAGTTTGTGAAAAAAACATTAAGTGTAGCTTGACTTTGCATTTTAATATGATCCAGATAATCCGCAAACATTCTGTATTTTGAATTCCATCATCACCTAATTCTAACCAAATGCTCCATTAAAAATCTCTAATGCTGTTTTCGCGTTTCTGTTTGTTAATTTGAGTTAATAATCAACCAGTCCTTTATCTCTCTTAATTCAAATCCACATTGTAATTTGAACCATCAGCTAACGAATCCTTTCACTCTCAAATTCTACTCTAAAGGTTTAACTCATCTATATTAAAATTAACTGATGATATACAGGACTATGATATGAATGAACAAGACATTCAACCTGTCCACATAATTAGCAGTGAATGAATTGTTAAGAAAATCAGATGATAATTTTCTTTATAAGGTCACAAGCTCAATATATAATCGTGCAATCTATTGTAAGGAGATTAAGCTGCCCAAGGTTATGTCAAACTAATTACATAGTGTTAAACTAATTATACTTTCTTCTTTCGCAACATCTAATAAAAGACAATAAATCTCTTTAGAAAAAATATTAATATAAATAAAGAATGGCTAAAAGCACATCTGTCATTTATAAAAAAAATAAAAAAAATATAGGGTATAATTGAGTCATTCTATCCCAAATTAACAGGGGTGTGTAAGTTACCATCTTGAATTTAGTTTTAAAACTCACTTAGTTTTTTTCTGTCGCTACAAATAATTCAAAATTTAGTCCAATTAGGCCAATATTTTCCAAGATACAGGTGCCTGATTCCAAAAACTGAAATAAATTTTGAGTTTTACTTGTTGATAAAATTTTAAACAAAGCAGAGGTAAATTCAAGGGTGGCTTTTGATTTTTTTTTCAAACGGGAAAAAAGAAAATTGCATTATAATGTTTGTGAGAGTGGTATTTCTGACCATCTATAAGTACCATAGACATACCATTTTGTACCTCAGCCCCAACCATGGTGGAGGTGATGTAGTGTGGACACACACTGTGAAATTCCCTACTGGGCCCCAGATTTCACATTCCTAGATCTGCCACCTACCACTGTAAACTATAAGAATATAAACAAAATCCAAGATGACTTGCGCACTCCAGTTAATTTTGTATATTTAACAAATAAACAAATCAGCCATGTTCTAGATCTACATAATTACTAATAAAAAAAATGGTACACTGGTATAAATTAGATAAAAATGAATTTAAAAATACATTTACAAGTAGAAATTATAAGCTACAATACCAAAAAAATACATTATTATGCTTGTAAATCAGCTAACACAAACACAGCACATTAATTTATAAACAATAACAACGACAAACAAAATATAATGTTGCTATAGCCCAACCAATACTAATTTTCGAAAATTCAGAATAGACTTTTTTCCTATTTTTTATTTTATTTTTTTTTTGTGGGGGGGAGTGGGGGATGGACAAATGGGGAATATACTTTTTCCCGGATGAGGAACCTAAAATGGTCACTTTGAAGGTATAATTAACATATCTCGGACATTAACTTCATTAATTCTTTTTTAGCCCTGTGGTTACCACATTACCAATTAAAGAATATGATGTGAGTGATGGTTGGTATACCAAAAACCTTGAATTAGACCTAGGGTACACAGTCAAAAAAAAAATCCAAAGATAAACAAGGCCCTTTTAAGACTATGGTTCCTATGCAAGCAATGTGTTATTTATTTTTACAATGAGATGCAATATGCTAGAGAACCATAGTGCCCTAGGTATAAGCATGCTTCGGGTGTAAGGCCACCTCCTACTTACATCAAATTTCATGTATCAGCCCCTCAACGGGCAAAAGCTCAGTGTATGATTTGAAATGAGTAGCTTTTGAGGACAAAATAGGAATGATACCTTTTAATCTCTGCAGAAGTAGGGGTTGTTTATATTGATAAATAAGGCCCTGGGATTTACCTGATTTTGTGTATTAGGTAAAAAGCAAAAAAAAAATAAAAAAATATCAAAAATTAAAAAAGGATCACCAAAGACACGCCCAAAAGTAAATCAACAACAAAACTGGAGAACCAACATATGTGCAGGTTTTCTGACTTGCTGCTTACAACCTCATTGTCACAAACACACACACACACACACACACTCAGGCATTACGTATGTCAAGTTCATTGCAACTCTTCTAATTGCTATGCATAGGAACCAAAAACAGCTAACCAAACTACCCAAATATCAGTGTGCAAGGCCAACACAACATTTTTCGCCCTAATAATAATAACAATAATAATAATAATAATAAATTTGCATTCATATTGACATTTCAAAGTGCTGAAAAGACATGTTCCTAAAATGTAAGTACAAACAGTGTACTGTATTATTATTCTAAGTACATACCCTAAAAGCATAATTCTATTAAATGCCATGCTTAGCAAATACACAATAGAATATAGTATTAACCCACAGCACGTCTTAAAATGAAGAGACTTGGCTTACACTCAAATTTGACTATCAAATCATGTTGTTCACACTTAAGGACGAATATGATAGCGAATAAATTAGAAATGATTTACTAATTCTTTCAGGTATTCTCTCAGGAATTCTCTGTCCCTTGATATTGCTCTACCTGTAAAGACAAAAAAAAAAAAAAGGTTTCATTTTGTAATGAACATGCAAGTGTTTCATTATAAAAATAGAATTTAGAGTGTGACAGAAAAACAAGACCTGAAAGAACTCAGTAACATTGACAATAATGATTGCAAAAATAGAAACAAAAAATATGTATTCTTGCAGTATTTTTGTTGAAAATGAATTTAATCGCATAAATACAGTATCAATTGGAATCTTTTAAAAATAAGATAATATATTTTCTTATCACTGAACCTTTTACTTCCATGCTTATTTTCTGCTAAGCAACATATATTATTTACAAAGTGGATGCAGTTTTTTTAAGCAACATTGAGTGATGAGCCATTTATAATTGACTGCTCCATAAACTCTTCCTATTAACGTGGCCGAGAGCAAGATGGTGTAAAAATAGATCAAAATACGAACACATCTACTCTACTTGCCAACCTCGTGCCAGGATTCCGTCCGCCACAACAACCCTAATCATCTGTGATCAGTCTCCCAGTAATTTTATCGAATAGTCTTAAAATTTATTATAATAACCGTGGAAAGAAACCAACATCACAATTATAGAACATTAAAAATCTAATGTTCTTTTCAAGAAATCAATTTAATAGTGGCTGTTTCCTTCCATACACTTAACACTCCTATTGATAGTTTTATGGTCTGAAGTGCTGACATAATTTTTAGTTTGTAATTTGATATTTGATGGAATATATTCAAATGTATGCAAAAAGAATTCTACAGCAGTGACACTGCCGAAAGTGTTTAGGGATTTGTAATTAATGATCCATTTATGTCAGTCCTCAGACTCCTTTTTAACTGTCAATACCTTTCATTTGAACTTGGTTTGCCTACAATGGGTAGAATTTTAATCTTTTCTTTGTATTTTTATACATGTTCTGAAACCTACATGCCCATATTTTGTCTTCTGTTTGTTCTATTTATATATTTGTATCTCACCTGTTAGGTTTTGAAAAAAACAAAATTGAAATTATGTATGGTTTTAAAATTCAAAGTTGTTTGCAAATATATGTTATATGTAGTTAATGGTTTTATAATAGCCAGTCAGATTAAAGTTTGAATTGAGCAATGATGCATTAAGTGTCTGGTTTGATTTTCGTTCAGTATAAGACGAGTAAGGGCTACCCTGTTGTACTGGTTAATTCTGGTCAAATACATCCCCTTGTTGCCCTGCGGCTATAAATATTAGCGTTGGGTGTGATAAAAATTTCAAATAAATATATTATATAAATCAACAATAGATGAAATGAAAATGGAATGTGTTAAGGCACAAAACAAGTAGTTTCAGACATTAATATACGATAATCAGTTATTAAATTTTCATACTAATGACTTTGACTTACATAATGCGACTCAGGGGGCGCTTCAATCCTGACAGGTTGTGGCTGTTGACCCATCGACGGTAGGTTTTGTGTTGCACCAACTCCTGCCTGTGGTACAGTCTGCAAAAAATTAAACATATATTATTGATACAATTTATCAATAATTTCAATATATGTCTCTGTCAACACTAGTAAACTAAATTAATGGTAATATTACGGATGATGAATATTATATTATAAAACAAAATTCTAATTTATCATATTGATTTGAGCATATATAGCATAAATCATATGCATAAATAAGGAACTTGTTTAGCTAATATATTTCTGGTGTTATATGCTTGATATTATTGTATGAATTAAAGGGCAAATAAAGAAACATTAAATCATCATTATAATTATAAACAAGTAGTTTCAGACATTAATATACGATAATTAGTTATTAAATTTTCATACTAATGACTTTGACTTACATAATGCGACTCAGGGGGCGCTTCAATCCTGACAGGTTGTGGCTGCCGTCTCTGTGGAGCTCGCTGCATACCGAGCTGTATTTCAGGTGAGTAGTAGGTTGCTCCTTTATAAGTAAGTCCGCGAAGATTATCTAAAATTACTTCTGGCTGTATCTGTTGACCCATCGACGGTAGGTTTTGTGTTGCACCAACTCCTGCCTGTGGTACAGTCTGCAAAAAATTAAACATATATTATTGATACAATTTATCAATAATTTCAATATATGTCTCTGTCAACACTAGTAAACTAAATTAATGGTAATATTACGGATGATGAATATTATATTATAAAACAAAATTCTAATTTATCATATGGATTTGAGCATATATAGCATAAATCATATGCATAAATAAGGAACTTTTTTAGCTAATATATTTCTGGTGTTATATGCTTGATATTATTGTATGAATTAAAGGGTAAATAAAGAAACATTAAATCATCATTATAATTATCATTTTATTGTTAAACTAGTGTCTTGACAAAGACCCTACCTAATCAATTGAATTATACACATCTAGATGTGTATAAGAGACAGGTTTTGTGTTGCACCAACTCCTGCCTGTGGTACAGTCTGCAAAAAATTAAACATATATTATTGATACAATTTATCAATAATTTCAATATATGTCTCTGTCAACACTAGTAAACTAAATTAATGGTAATATTACGGATGATGAATATTATATTATAAAACAAAATTCTAATTTATCATATTGATTTGAGCATATATAGCATAAATCATATGCATAAATAAGGAACTTGTTTAGCTAATATATTTCTGGTGTTATATGCTTGATATTATTGTATGAATTAAAGGGCAAATAAAGAAACATTAAATCATCATTATAATTATTATTTTATTGTTAAACTAGTGTCTTGACAAAGACCCCACCTAATCAATTGAATTTAGTGTTTCTACGCCACTACGTACCTTTATATGTTTTCCACTTTTTAGAGTTAAAGCATACTATGATGATGAAACAATAGTGATATTAAGTTTTTTTTCATCAAATATGCACCCACTTGTAATCAAAACAGCTAATGGTCGTGAAATGTTTTTAATTGCTCCAATGACCAAAGTTTTATTGCAAGTTTGTACAGAGCCAATTAGCCGAAAAAATAATAAATTTTGTAACAGGAGTGATCATTTCTAAAATAACAGGTGCATCCTATCATTTCAGAATTGAATGGTTGAATATAAATGCCATATAAACATATCACACAACCAATGTAAACATCTACTAAACTCTATTAAAATCAAGGTCATTACTCTAGAAAATATCCATAGTCACTACATAATCAATTAATGTACATACAGTATATGATTTGGTTATAGTTAAATTTTATTATGATTTATTCATATTGCTTATAATGGGAAAATTGAAATAAAATAAAATGAGAGCCCAAAATTGGCTTCATAGGGAATTAGAGGTTCAATAGTTTTTACTCGAAATTATTTACCATTTTTATATCACTAAGAGCTACTGGTTGTTTCCTACATACAACTTTAGTATATTATGTGATTTATCTATTTGTTGAATATGATGCAAAACCTTGAAGAAAATCTGTCTTAATAGGGAAATCTAAGGAAATACACCTTCTTAGCATTTATTGTTAGAGCAACAGGATGAACATCACAAGAATTTAGGTTTAAATCCTGATAGAAGTCTCAAACAAAACTATATATCATCTTTGTATAATTTGAAACTAATGAACTGAAAACTGAAACTAATATGATTACTTTACTATGATAATAAAAAGGATATATATTTTTTTAAACCTGTCATCAGATATCACGATAAAAAAAAAGTACTGTATGTCCTCATCGGGATTCGAACCCAAGACCGTCCGATTACTGTTCGGATACTCTACCAACTGAGCTGAGGCCAAGGACACGTTTTTTTCTCAATGTATTGCATAATACACAATGAACAATAGAACATCACATGAAAGTAACTTAGGTACACAGATACACCTCTACTGGTGTTGATTAAATCAACACCAGTGGAGGCATTATCTTAATACCCAAGTTACTTTCAGATATCATGAGGCGCTATGTTAAAATAAACGCCACATAAACATGTCACATTACTATTGTCGATGTCTAGTTAAATTTAACTTTCTAAATTAAAGAAGATTTATAGACATTATTTGCAATACCAAATGTGGTTTAATTGAATATGAAATATTACTGTCTAAAGATGTCTATGAAAAGAGAAACCATATATTATGATTTTCATAAATGTATTTTCTAAAAAGACAAGAACAGTTTTATAGAATGAATATTTGAGAAATTATTGTTTTGACAAATATGTGTAGTATGTGCAACTTAAGCACAAATTGTGAAGATTGTAACATTTTTTTTATCATAAAATAATAGTTTTCAATGTGCCGTATATTTTTCTCATGGTTTAAACTTTTAAATATTGTACTTATGGTCTGGTTTTATCATAAATTATAAATGTTTTAATCCAAACAATTATAAATTTTGATGCAATTTTCAGTTTTACTGCAAAATCAGAATTTTTCTTTTAATAAACCAGAATGAAATGAGACAACTATGCTGTGTACCCATTGCATAAAAAGTGCTGTAGCAACACAGAAGCAATTTTACCTTTGCTTTTGTATATGTGAGAGTGATGTATTCCATATTGCTATTCCTAGGCCCATATGCCTAAAATATATCAATAAAATTAATCAAATAACTTACATTAACTGGAAAATGCTGAACAGGTACCGGCCCACCAATCTGAAACGGAGCGTTGATAGGTCCTGTTAGCCCCTGGGCTGGTCTTGGATGCCCATGCGGCGGCCCAGGATGTCCCTGCACAGGGCTAGCATGCACAGGAGGTGGCACTGGATGTCCTTGAGTAGGTCTTGTGTGTACCGGTTGAGGAACTGGGTGGCCCGGATTATAATGCACATTCACAAATGTCGTAGGAGGGAAAGCCCCTTGAGGTGGATGTGCCCCCATGGATACAGCCGGATGTAACATGCCTGTATTCCGTGGGTGGGTTGCCGCTGCATGTTGTAAACCTAAAAGAAACAAATAAAAATACTCAATGAATAATATATTTTTTAAGAGTATTTTAAAGTAAAGGTGAGGATCAATTTTGTAGACATAAGGAACAAATGGCTGGATCTCCTACAAGCAATACGTTAGTATAGTAAATTGTAACATGTATAAAAAATACAATTACTTGTTTTATGCTTGCAAAGCATAGCTTCTAGACCCAATTTGTTTTTTTAACATCTGATAATATTGTGGTTAGAAATTGCTAACACACAGCCCAAACTGATTGTAAATCTAGGTGTATCTTCAGCACAAGTTGAGACCTAGTACATTATGTATTATGTGCTAGATTAGCATCGTCCCATGTCTTATTTCTTAGGTTGATGACTATTTAAATAATTTATTCTGTTTAAAATTTTAAAATGTCTCTCGTATACTACCCAGCAACTGACTCATGTAACATATTGTCTCGTAATTAATATACACATTTGGCATTTTCAATACATTGTACATGCAGCCTGTTTGATTCGTCCGTATATCAGAGTTTGCCTAGCAACGTAAATAAGTACAAAAGAGCATTACCTTGAACTGGTAATCTATTTGGTAGCAAGGCTGCGGCATCAGATAACTGAGTTTGTGGTGGTCTAGAATCAGGCATTGATGGCGGTGGCCTCTGGGTCGACAGTCTTGGCGATGGTGAACCAGACGGCTTTGTTGTTTGTCGCATCATTCCGTGCGTAGGTGTGAGCGATGGATCAGATATGTTGGGTGGTGGTGTTCCATCACTCTGGTAAACTTGAGCTTGATAGCCTTCAATTAACATAACAAAGTAAACATGATATTTCAATGCCATCCATTAATTAACTTAGAACTTACAGTTTAGAATCAATTCTTAAAAATTAATGGGTCTTTAACAAAATTACAAATTTTTAAACAAGTCTTAAAGTGCTACTTTTTTTTTTTAACTGTTTAAGAGATTATTAAAATATATAAAATAAGTAAACAGTTTTATTTTTGAAAGAAATACTTTCTAACTTACAGTACTCCCCACCCAGTGGTGGATCCAACAATTTTGAAAAGAGGGGTCCCAGGGAAGGACTTTCACAGATGGAGGGTGAAGACTACTATCAGTCGAAACTAAAGTTTATGATTAATGGCACCTTTAAGGTGGGCACTCACTGCGTGGTACGACCGTCGGCCGATGAATCCAACTCCACTCCCTGTGAGCGTTACAAGACGCTACGCAGCATGCTGATTATCGGTGGCAGTCTGAACGAATCGTCAGTCAAAACGATCCATTGCACACGCGCCATGGTGTTGCGTTCTCCATAGAATCATGTCGGCGACGAGCGCCAGGCTCAGTGAGTGCCTGGCTTTAAATGGACGGAAATGGCACTTTTACGCCCGTATTCTTTAGTCAAATTTCGAACTAGAACTTCACCTTCAATTTGTATTCACAAGTAGTCAAAGTTCTAACTAAGACTAAATCAAGTCCTAGTTGTAGTTCAGCTGAAGACGGCTGCAACAACACTCAAACTAACCAATGAAAAGAGCTTATTTTAATAGCACACAAAATTTTAGAGATCCGGTAATGGGGATGAATATTAAATTGCAGTCTGTCTTTCAAAAAAATATTTCTTCATAATTCATATATAGATCATTATTCGCTAGACTAATGTTCTATAATAACTATATTAGTCATTAACATCAATGATAGAGAATTTGAACTGTCACTGAAAATTTACTTTTTTTTAAAAACTATCATAGTTGAGGTCGAGCGAGGGCGGCACTAGCTTTGTTGTTGTGTGAATCTACGTGACCGTAACGTGAGGGGATTTCGTGCAAATCAGAAACTGTTGCATGTGGCTAGCAAAACATGTTAGTTTCGCCTTTTGGAAGCTAAACGTAATGTCAATTTTCTTGAACACACTGGAGATACATCAGACCTATTTATACAATCGTTTTTATTCATTTATTTATTCACCTGAGACAACTAACTACATGTATAGAAGGAGATTGGAAACGAGCCGAGATTTCCTTTGTTCTTCCATCCCGGCGATTCGTTGTGTGTTGCATGCTTTTGATATGCAAATCCAGTCAACCAAACACTGTTGCAGCCAAGAGAATGCTTACTGCTCATGCTCAGTTCATAATCACTAAGACATGTAAATGAAAACAACTACTGAATAGGCATCCCAGAGATCGTAGCGGACTTGTTCGCGGCAGAAACGGTCCTACTCCCCTAGGCCTATGGCTAGGCCACACTGTAGGCCTAAACTAGGGCATAATTTAAGGCAGTATTTCATATTTATAATCATGTAATCCATAAAGATATTTAATATAGACCTGTACAAACATGTTCAGCTAATCTTTCGGTATATTACCTGTCAATGACTAATGGTTCATGAATATTAGAGAAAAGTGTATTTTAATAGCTGATGTTTCCAACATTCAATTGTTCAAAAAGCAGTAATTAATACAAAAATATGTAAATTGGACTGTATGTACATATTCTCTGAATCTGAACATGACTTACTAGGTACACAGAAAAATACCTTTTCTGTTGTGGTAAATGATTTCAGAACATATATGTGCTTATGTTTGAAAACTGTACTATGGATTTAGTGTGTTTCTTCAATTCAGGCATTTTACCGAGTGTCGGGACCCGGTTAGGCCTAGCCCTGGACGGCTGAGGGTAGGGGTTGCCGAATTACTAGCCTATTGTAGCCTTTTGTACGCATACCATAAATTTCAGACATTTAAACTGCAATATATGTGTTTATGTATCTTACATTTCAAAGAAATTTCCAAAGTAAAAGTTTAAATATTTTTTTAAATATCATACGTCCAATACCACCACGAAAATATCTGCTTGTCTTGCGTGTGGAAGTTGCTTGCGGTTCGAACAACCTTATTTGCATAGCAATGAAACACAAGACATCACAAACTAAAGAACAATAGAATCCAGTCGCGTTTCCAATCTCCTTGTATAGCTGTCTCAGATTTCACTTTATCGTAAGTTACAAAAAGAACGTTTTTAGTGGGGTGAATATTTCAAGTCGGCGATTTAGCCTGACCCTAGGCTGACTAAAAAAATCGGCCCAAGGAGGTATGATATTAGTTGAGGTTCGCGTGATTTAGACGTAGTGCTAGTTGAAGCTCGTTTTAAGAATAGCAGATGATGCAATTTTGAAGTTTTAGCTCGAACTACAACTAAAGTTTGTTTTAAGAATACTGGGGTCAGCTTAAATTCAAATTTTTTTTTTTGGGGGGGGGGTGGGGGTGCACACAGGACAACCGGGACTCTTGAATCGGTAACTGCCACCCACTTACAATAGTTTTTTTAAATAATAAAGAATAAGAATATTATAACAGAAATGAGAAAACATGATAACTACTGTAAAGGTGATAATTAAATGCTCTCCCATGTAATTTGTTTATCTTTGCAATCTTTACATTGTCTTTCTGTATGTACATGTAAATAATTGTTTTATCTGTTTTACTTAATATTCACTGAAGTAAGTAGTTATTGTCAATCATTAATAATTCACTTTTACGCCCACACTTACCTGGTTCAAAATAATGTTGCGGTGATTCTGAACTTGAGGGTGGGATACCAGCTCTTGCTTCTAAAGTCCTCTGGCGCTGAGAGGAATACCGATGCGGCCTGCTGCCTCCCTATCACCAATTCAAATGATAAAACATTAAATAAATAAATTTAAAGTTGTAAATATAAAATATATAAAACAAGTTCATCATATTGGTCAAATACAGTAATGAATACAATACATGAAATTTTCTTTACCCCAGAAAGGTCCATTGTAAAGTGGGCAAAATCTCTGGCTAAACCCTAGCTATACTCAGGTTGGTTACTAAAATAGTAGCCATGAAGATGCCTAAAGGGAAAATCTTCAAACCATATGAAACAATATCGAAAATGACTATACAACATGTAACTAACCCTTCCACCAGTTGCACTAGATATGTTCGTGGCATCTGTAGGCTCATCTGTAAAATTAAGCAAATTTACATGCTGTAATAAGTAATACACATACACTGGCATAAAGGACATACAACTTTCTTGCTTCTACCTTTTATCTTGATTTTAGCACACATCAGAAACATTTTTATCTCAATTCATTGGAGCCATGCATAAGGAATTTCATTTCATTTATTTATTAGACACAAAGGTCCTGGGACTTCTAAAGAAGCAATAGCCTCTGTGACTCAATGAGTCAGAAGTCCCAGCAAAACACCAAAAACATCAAAAATATTTACAATATATTAAGTTAAAATTTGTAAAAAGTAATAAAAAAATATTAAAATTATATCTACATCTGAATGCTAAAAAGATACGATTTGAACCTCTTTAAAAAAACTTTTAGGTTACAATTTACAGCAGTAGAGTTTAAGTTATTGTAAAGTGAAAGTACAGCACTCTTAGGGTCAAGATAAACATGATTTTGAGTAATTGCCTTCCAAAACTATTTGTGCATACATTGTTTAATAGAATTTAATAACATTAAATAAACGATTTGTTGACCACTTCCAGAACTAATACTTTGGGACATGATTAATAAGACATTAAACTGTTGATCTACTGTATAGTGAAAAAAAAAAAGGATTTTTAGGCAATTCTTTGGGCTCCCATATTTTATAGATCATTTACTCAATACTGGCCTGTGTGACAACTTAACCATTTTGCCAGGATATGCCTCATTTGTATGTCAATTTCATTTTATGAAAGATCATATACTTTAAGTTAAAATTATGCAAATGGACTGTCCATAACATTAATTTTTATGTGACAAGTAAGTATGGGCATGATGTTATATCACACAAACATGTACAGTATGCCAAATCAAAGGTTTGTTTTATATATTTTATCATAACCACTTCTTCACATCAAATTTGCACTGTCATAATATCACCACCACCACCTACAGTATTATCACCATGCAGCATCATCACAATCAGCATTATTATCACCTACTCTACTGTATCATCACCTACTCATCACTACCATTATTACCACAATAGAATATTACCACCACCATCATTACATTATTTACCTTCATTCCCACCACCACTATTATTATCATTACATTTACTACCACTACCACCACCATCATTACCACCCTCACTACCATAAATTACCTTTACTGGTAGAGTGCTCTTCTGACTTCTTATTCGAATCATCAATAATCTTTCTCTGGCCTCCTTCCACACGTATCTGGAAGTTCTGAAGCAGCTTCGGTGCTGGACTCGTCGGCTGGACGTGATCAAAACTGCCAGCTTCCTGTGCAACCTGCGGATGCGCATCTTTACTGGGCGTCACCGGGATCTTTGGTATTTCTTTTATAGTGCTACGCTGATGGCGCCTTTGAGAAAATGACTTAGATTCTCGTGAATAGGCAGACTCTTCAACAGAAGTATCACTGTCTTTAGTTTTTGATATTCTATCTTTAGTAACAATATTTTCTACTGGATTTTTAGTATGTTGTGTCTTCGTGTTTGATGGTAACGTAGGTGATTCTTTTTTGACTGTCCTTAATTCTTTATTTGTCCACTCATTTGGCTGTGAACTTGGTAACACATTATCTGTATTACTACTGCCTTGGGATGGTTGTCTTCCAAGAGTTGGCCATTCTTCTTCAGTGGCCGACACCCTTGACATTTTATCGTCTCTAACATCACCTTGGTTCTCAATAGGAACTTTCTTTTCAGTAAATGTGCTTTCATTTGACGTTCCTCTTTGTTTTCCTTCATTAAAACCACCTCTTCTGCTATATCTAAAATCTATATTGCCTCTGTTTGCTTCATTTCTTTTTTCAGAGGTATCTTTCATACTCCCCTCAAATGTCTCTCCATCTTTGAACCTATTTCTATGCTCCGGATTTCTATTTCTAAACCTGTAGTCTTTCGGTTCAATTTCATAAGTGTCCCTGGACCTTTCATTCCTGTATCGTGTATCTCGCTTATCATCATCCCTACTTTCTTGCCTGCCCGTTGTTTCGTACGGTTCATCACCTCCCCTTCTCTGATAATTGCTATTTCTTCCTCGGTTTGATTTTCTTTGTGACTCATCATTATCATATATTTTCTGTTTAGCCTGCAAATCCCTGTTATCAGATCTATTCCTCCTGTTGTAATCCTCTCGATTTGAATATCTACTTTCATGCTTAGTATATGCATCTTTGCTATGATTTTCTTGATATGTATTTCTATATGTTTGTGTTGTGTCGGGGCTACTTTCATTAACTTCATCAACCATTCTTTCCTCTGACTGCTTTGGATATGTTCTCCTTCGTCCTCTCTGAAGTCCCCTTCCAAAACCCCTCCTTTGTGTTGACCCTCTTGATGTTTCTGTATGATCAACAGTTTTTGCAGAATTTTGAATATAATCTGATACAAGAGGTCTTGAACGTTGACCTCCCCTTCCTCGACCACGGCCACCCCTCCTGTGCAAGACAAGACAAAATAGTAAAAAACCTACAATATGATATAAAACATTTTTGTTTTTAACATTTGTAACTCTGCATGGAGATTAAATAAACATCGGCAAAAATTTATAGGAAGACACACATCAAAATTAATGTAATATATACAGTACAGACACAAATTACTGCTTCGTATTTGCGCGTAACCTCTCGTAATCTGCTCGTAGGTACGTTTTGAACGTAGCTACGAACCACTACGAAGGTCATTGTTATTTTAATTAGCTTTGCAATGATCGTAGGCTAGATCGTCGGGCTGATAAACAATGCGTAAACAATATTGAAATATAGTTTACCAGCTTTCAACACGTAAGCAATGTTGCAATTTACTAAATAAACAATGTTAGAACTTTATTGTTTTGTTAT